GTACATTTAAATTTAGCAACATTATTTTTAAGGAATTTAAAAATGTCTACATTGGCCTTTCAATCTCAAAGAATAGTACTTGGTACAATTCAATAATGTTCAGTAGCTTGAATTTTGTAGCCTGTTATACATATCAGTAAGAATGTTATCTCCTTTAGAGAAAAAATACTGTGTTAAGAATAAATATCCCAAGTTTTTTTTTTCTTTCCATAGAAACGTGTTTTTCACAAATTAAGTACAAGTAATATTTTAATAAGGTCATCAGATAATTTGTTGTCCTCTCTGGGAAAATTTTAAATCAGTTGTCCTTTTGACCAACTTTTTTTTCAGTGTTTACTCTGAATTTATTTTATCTGAATGAAAGCCAAAAATTAATCTTTAAAGTGAACCAGTAGACCTAAGGCAGTTTTAGAATGAGCATTGTGGCATCAGACTACATGTTGAAAATACAGTGGATATAATAACTGGTGAGCAGATTATTTAAAAGAACTAATTTTTTAAGGAAAGTTTTATCATTGTGGTTATAAATATTTATGAGAATTCCAAAATTATTCATTAAAACATAAAAATATAAGCTGGCATTCTGATTATATTTATTAGCATAATAGTTTATGACAGTCAGAAACTACATCCACTTAGCTTTTTTATCAATCAATCTAATGAATTTATAAATGGAAAAGAAGTTTAGTTTTGTTGTGTTTGATTACAACATTGTTTTCAAAATTATTCATCCTGTGATTATTTGCATATAGTTTGGTTCTTATTGTATAAATGTTACTACTTACATAGCATGCTTGTACCTTTTTACTAGTATTATTAATTTAGAAATCATGTTATCATCTATGTGTTTTTTTTATTTTTTTTTTAAAGATTTATTTTTATTATTTTTTTTTTTATTGGAAAGGCGGATATACAGAGAGGAGATACAGACAGGAAGATCCTCCGTCCCATGACCCACCCCCCAAGTGAGAGCAAAGGGTCGATACTATGCCGATCCAAAGCCAGGAGCCTCTTCCGGGTCTCCCACGCGGGTGCAGGGTCCCAAAGCTTTGGGCCGTCCTCGACCGCCCTCCCGGGCCACAGGCAGGGAGCTGGAAGGGAAGCGGGGCTGCCGGGACCAGAACCGGCACCCATATGGGATCCCGGGCGTGCAAGGCGCGGACTTAACCACTTGCGCCACCGCGTCGGGCCCATCATCTATGTATTAATAAAGACAACTGAAAATTGTGATGGAGAAGTTATTGATTTAGTAAGCTGAAGATAGTGAAATATAAAGTAAATAGGCACTTATTGTGGAAAGTTTGACTGATGAATTTCATTTCTCAAGAGAGTAAAACTAAAATAGAAAAAATATGTATAAAATTTGAAATCACTCTGGGGATCTTTTTCATGGAGTTCTGAGTATCCAGAATTTATATTTATATCTATAAAACAAGACATTATTTTAAACTAAATGCTTCTGCTTAGTCATGTCCCAGAACAAGGAAATATTTTAGTGGATTCTAAAGAAGGCTTTTCACTTCCACATATTTGCATTTTTAAAAAAGCAGTCTTTTTTTTTTTAAGGATTTATTTGTTTTTATTGCAAAGTCAGAAATACAGAGGAGGAGGGACAGAGAAGAAGATCTTCTGTGGGATGATTCACTCCACCAGCACGGCTGGTGCTGTGCTAATCCAAAGCCAGGAGTCTGGAACTTCTTCCAGGTCTCCCACGCGGGTGCAGGGTCCCAAAGCATTGGGCTGTCCTCGGCTGTTTCTCCAGGCCACAAGCAGGGAATTGGATGGGAAGTGTAGCTGCCAGGTCTAGAACTGGCATCCAATTGGGATCCCAGCACTTTCTTTTATTATTATTATTATTAATTATATTGCATTCTGTGACACAGTTTCATAGCCTCTGGGATTCCCCCAACCCCTCCCCATGCCTTCCTCCCATGGTGGATTCCTCCACCTTGTTGCTGTAGTACAGTCCAAATCCAGTCAAGATTCTTTCATTGCAAGCATGTACCATACATAGAGTCCAGCTTCTTATTGTCCAGATAAATTCAACAGTTTCTTCAAGGAAAAGCCCCAACGTAACATCAACAACAATTTACAACATTATGGAATCAATTGACATGATACTGAGTGACCAATATGTTAAAAAAAAAAATGCAAGTTCTTAACCACATACTGTGACTGCTTCATTGATGTTTCAATATTAGTTTATATGCAGAACTGGCTGCTGTATACCTTAAAATGGCTATAGGGTACTATTCAGCTATTTCGTGTCTATTTTCATTTTAGTATTTACCAGTTTATAGTGTTGAAGCATAATTTTTACTGAACTTGGCGGATTTTAGGATAGTTCAAACTGGCTTATAACTGTAACAAGGCATATGTTAACAGTTGAGGTGCAGAACTGTTTTAGGAGGGGTGTGCAGAGAAATCTTCAATACCCTAGTGAGGAGTAACCAATCCTTGTGTCCTGCCTAGTAAGGTATGTGTGAGTCCACGCTGATCGTTTCCTGTCTGGTTCTAAGCTTTCCTTGTTCTCTGTTATCTATTCTAATTTTAAAAAGCAGTCTTTATTATTATTTCCATCTACCTAAAACATCAGCAGCAAAAATATTTCATCACTCATTTTCTTTCCAAATACCTTAAATAGCTAGGCCGGGGCCAGCTCAGAGCCAGAAACCTGGAACCTGGTTGGTGTCCCCCAGGTGAATGAAGTTCAAATTTGAGTATTTGAGCCATCATCTGTTACTTCCCTGGATGTATTAACAAGAAGCTGTATCAGAAGTACAATGGTGAGAACTCAAAGTGATACTCAGGTTCAGGATGCAGTAGAAATTCCGAGGCAATTTTTTTTATAAATTACTTTGCATTATGTGACACAGTTTTGCACAGTTTTATAGGCACTGGGACTCCGCCCACAACTCCCCAAACCCTTCCCCATGGTGGATTCCTCCACCTTGCTGCGTCACCACAGTTCAAGATCAGTTGAGATTCTTCCATTGCGAGCATTTAACATCTGCCCCTGACTATTTTGCCTAAATTAGTAACAACTGGATTCAGTATTTACTTACATCAGCATGGCTTAATATTCAGAAATGGTTTATGACAGTAACTCCTAGGAAAAGCAGTAATTTTCTGTGAACCAAAAATAGCTATTTTTTAAATGAAAAACTTATATTCCTAAATAAATTTCAGTTGCCTCTTAACAATGTTTATTCAGTGGAGACGGCATTTATTTGAATGTGCTTAGCCATTTGCTCTAACTAATACTTTTTAGAAAAATATATTCTGCTATGTCTTCTAGCTGATTTTGTATTTTTAAATGTTTTGATATTACTAAATTTAACTGTTTCTCTTTGAGACAGTAACTAACTACAATTATGAATTCTCTTGTCGGTGTTTCTCCATCCCTTCAAGTTATGGTTTCACACATTTCAAATTGCTAACACCTTTTTTTCAGGCCATAATATCCTCTTCCTAGTGCAATACAGATGTAAAAGTGTCTTGGAGGCTTTAATAATGAGAACCTGCTTGCTAAAACCTCTTTCCCCACTCTTGGTACTTGATTCAAATGAGGAAAGATGAAAATACTATATACAAATTCTGCACACTGATTCCTTAGTGCAGAATTAACCCAGTAAGAAGGAAAACAGAGGAAGTACTCCAAGACATTGGCATAGGCAAAGACTTCTTGGATAAGACCCTACAAGCACAGGCAACAAAGGGGAAAAAAAGATGGAACTACATCATGTGAAAAAACCGCTGCACAGCAAAGGAAACACTCAAAAAAGTGAAAAGGCAGCTGTCAGATGAGAGAAAATATTTGCAAGTCGTGTATCTGATAAATGATTAGTATCCAGGAAGGATATGCAAGAAACACAAAAAACTTAATCATGCTACTGTCCAATTAAGAAAAAGGCAAAAGACATGCACAGGCAGTTTCAAAGATGAAATAAAGTTTTACACTATTAATAAAATGTATTCCTTTTATATAACTTCAAGATTTCTAAGAAAACTACCAGGTTAGTCAGTGTAACTCTTCATACTTTATGTCTGTTTCCAGCACAAATTTACAGTAATCCTAGAGATTTTCAAGAACCTCTGGGAGTTGCAGAGAGAAGCACTCAACAGCCAAGTGAATTGTCTGTGTTTTCTAAAATAAAAATGTAAACACATGAATATATATTGACATTTAGCAGAAATGCTTTACTTTCAGCCTGAAGTGCCTTCCTGTCATTAAAATTACATCTATTCCTTAAGAAGTAAGAGAATAGCAATAGAATTTTTCTGTCACCCAGATTGACAGTTTTTGAGATTTGTGAAGTTAGGATAATTTTTATAGAAGATAGGTGTATTTTTATGAATGTATATGTATACAAATATATTTGCACATACAGACCACTTGTAAAATACACCTGGTTTGTGGCTGTGTAAATTGATGAAATACTAGCTTTAGCATAGGAAAATTAATATGCATAATTTTATGCACTTGCCTTATATTTCAAAGTTTATCATTTTTCAAACCTGGAGGCAGGGCTTTTTCATCTGTAGAGGTAATCCATGTGATGTTACTTTATTTCAATTTCTGTAAATGTAAAATTTAGTGCATGTTTTTATTATAAAGATTTAGTTTTTCCCACTATACAGATTTACATGTGTACAAAATAATCCCCTCTCCCTTCCTCTCTCCCTCCTTGTAAGCCCAATTATTACAATGACATAGTGATTTATTTCGCCTTTACAGGTTTAACTTTCTGATATATGAATATAACATGACAAATGTAGGAAAAGAAATAATGCAACGTAACAGAATAATTAAAAATAACCTGGAAATGCTGCTATTATTTGGGAGTAAAGACACATGCTATATATATCTCTTCTTTCTCAGTATGCTGCTGTAAATGCAATTTAATAATTTTGAGATACTGAAAAATAACATGTAAAGCTGTGGTGATAATTTTAGTAAAATTATCTTGAAACAAATAATATTTTTTCTTGTTTTCTAGCTATTACAATTTGGGTGAAGTGAGCCATGATTCAGTGAACAAGTTTCTTTCCCACCTGATTGAGAAGTCCCTGATTGAATTGGAGAACTCCTACTGCATTGAAATTGGAGAGGTATGATTCAGTCTTGTTGATTCCAGCTGAGGACAGCCCAGCTTTTTAGGCAGTGCTGGGTCTTTACTTTAGTGATACCAGGATTTTTACGAAATTGTTTCAGTAAGCAACATGCAACTTGAATAACTGATTTTATAATGTTACATACTTCTGTTGAGCTTTCTACTTATATTACATTATTTTTTATTTTCAAATAGGATAGTCGGAGTATTGAACCTCTGACGTATGGCAGGATTGCTTCCTATTACTATCTGAAGCATCAAACAGTTAAAATGTTCAAGGACCGTTTGAAACCTGAATGCAGTACTGAAGAATTGCTTTCAATTCTGAGTGTGAGTTTCACAGTGTTGTAGCACTGGTTTTTTTTCAAGTTTTTAAGTTTTATTTTCTTTAAATGAGAAAAAATGAGCTTATTTTATTCATATAGTAGTTTCTTTTTATTGTTATTATTTTCCATTATATGGGTTTGTAGGTGCAGGATTTCCCCCTCTACCTCCTCCTTCCCTTTCCCCATTTACCCACTCCCCCCATCAACTATTTTCCTTCATATTATAATAGTATAGTCCTTTAGCAACAGTCACAGTTCAGCATTCTGCTGCTGAATTGTATCATGATATTGTAGATATTGACAATGATAGACAGTCTAGTATTCTATTTTCTAGGTATGTTAACAGCTTCATTGGGAGTATACCTTTTATTTGAGAGTAGAGATGCATATTGCAATATATTTTTACTTCCTTGTTCTTAGCCTCCATTATACAGTTGATCTGAGAGAATATATATATATATATGTATATATATGTATATATACACATATTTGCCTATATGTTTATTAGTTTTGTATTTTGTGTAAGGGTTGCCTTCTATCAGAGGGAGCATATGATATTTGTCCTTTGGGACTGGCTTATTTCACTAAGTGTAATGGTTTCTAATTGGAACCATTTTGTTGCAAATGGTAGAATTTCATTTTTTTCTTAATGGTTTAGTAATATTCAGTGAAGTAGATGTACTACAGTTGCTTTGTCCATTCCTTTTTCGACATTGATGTTGAGTGTTCAGACTACCTTATGTATTTTACATCTTCTTTTTTAAGTTTTAAATTGTTGCCATCTCATTTTTGTTGAAATTGGAATCATTTTATAAAATCCATGTCTCTGTCAGACAAGGTCACACAAAGTAACTTCTGAACTAAGTTCCTCCTGAGGTTTAGATCCTTCTAAGAGGCACTTTTAAATATCAAAGTCAAAATAAAGGAGGAGTATCTTGAGTAAACCAGATGGCCATTCTGTCTTAGATGTAATATGCTCTTTGGATTATGATCAAAAGGTTTCCTTGCTGCTTCTGTTGGATGGTTCTTGTTGAATGGTTACTCAATGTAACTGAAGTTTCTTCATATAAAGAGCCATAGGATTAAGTTCTCTTAGACTTTATGCAGGAAATCTGTTTAACATCCTTTTCCCTGTGCACACCCTTTAGTGAGGACTGAGGAAGTAGCCTATATTCATTTTTCCCTTTTTTGCCAGGAGCTAAACTTAAAATTGGAATAAAAAATACTATTAGAAATATCTTCTCTGCCTTTCTTATTTAGTTAGGCTTACTTGTAATGAGTGCTTATGAAGCTTTGTTGGCGTATTAGTCTGGAAATCCATTTAGACTAACAGTTGTTATATCCTGGGTATGAGTTGATGCTTTGATTCTGTTGTAGTTTATTTGCCAGCTTTTGAGCTTCTCCTCCTGTTGGATGATCATTCTAAGTAAAGATCATTGTCACATTCAATTTTTTTATTTCACTTTCTTAGTTTTCCCCCAAAAGGCTGTTCTTAGCATACAGCAAAATACATTGCAGCTGACTAGATAATGTTGATGAGTTGATGATTGGAGGGGCAGATAGGTTGATAGATATTACTCAGTTTTTGCTTGTTTGTAGAATATAGTGTTAAAGTGTGTGAAGCAACCACTTATTTTCTTTGAATTTCTTTAAGTTCTTTGAAAAAGCATAAATTAATTTCTGAGGAAAGAACAAAAATATAAACATGGCAAGAATTTGTTCTAGTGGTTAAGATAGCAGTTGTAATCTCTGAATCTCATTTCAAAGTGCCTGGGTTTTGGAAGCCAAGGTCCAGTCCTAACTCTAGTTGCTGCTAATATGCACTCTAGGAACAGCAAGTGATGACTCAAATATTTTGAATCACGGCCACACATTTGGGAGCCCCATATTGTGTTCTTAACTTCCTGTTTATACACAGACATCTGAAAGTGAACTAGCTGATGAGAGCTCTCTTTTAATCTCTCTATATACCCACCAAATTTATTTTTTAAATTGACATAAATAGGGCCCGGCGCGGTGGCGCAAGTGGTTAAAGGTCCTCGCCTTGCACGCCCGGGATCCCATATGGGCGCCGGTTCTAATCCCGGCAGCCCCGCTTCCCTTCCAGCTCCCTGCCTGTGGCCTGGGAAAGCAGTCGAGGACGGCCCAAAGCTTTGGGAACCTGCACCCGCGTGGGAGACCCGGAAGAGGCTCCTGGCTTCGGATCGGCATAGTATCGGCCCGTTGCGCTCACTTGGGGAGTGAATCATCGGACGGAAGATCTTCCTCTCTGTCTCTCCTCTCTGTATATCCGCCTTTCCAATGAAAAAAATAATAAAAATAAATCTTTAAATTGACATAAATACAGTTTTAAAAACATTTATTTGAAAGATTGAGGAAGAGGAAGATCTTCCACCTACTTTTTTTTAAGATTGTAATTACTTGATTTTATTTTACACTAGATGGGCGCAAAGCAATCCTCCTTAATAAAGTTGACAATTAGCTTCACTCAAAACACTTTTAATAACGCACATAAAAAAGTATTTGTCTTAAAAATTGTTCTGCAATCCAAATATATAATAGCTTGGAAAACAGCATTCAGAAAACAAAGCCAAAGAAAAGACAGGGTAGAACAACTAGGACATTGCAGGCCTCACATGGCTCGGATTTTAGTTTTCTTACTGCATCAGCCATGTCAGAAATCTGTTCCTTCGGATAGCTCCACTGCTCTGGATTTAAAGAAATGCCTTTTCTTCTGGTTTCATTTCACCTTCAGAATCTACCCAGTATTCTTGAGTATCAGAACTTTCCCTCGAACACTGATGTACCTCATTTTCCCAATCTGGAACATGCTGCTGTCTGCTGCTGCTGCTGCTCTGTTTGGGAGAGGACAGAACTCTCCCGTGTCTTCTGCTTCTTCACGGGCTTTTCCTGGTGACTTGCCTTTTCCTCTTTAAGTTTTTGTCTACCTCACTGTTGGAATCACTGCCAGACAAGCCTAAAGACACAAGTTCCTTTGACTTCGGCATTACTGAACTCCAGCCACTGAGCAGCCTCCATCTCACTCGCTACCTCGCTCATCCCATGTACTTGTTCACTCCCTAAATGCTCACAACATGCAGGACTGAGCCATGGAGTCCTGCATCTCCCATGTAGGTGGCAGAGATTCAACTGCTTGACCTATCCTCCCCCCACTGCCTCCCAAGGTGCTCATTAGGAGGGAATTGGAATGCAAAGCAGAAGGCATGCAGGTGTTCCAGTGTCCCAAGTGGCACCTTAACTGCTGCTCCAAACATCCTCCCCGAGAATATTTTTCACCCTCTTAAGGGTGAGATTCATATCATTTGTACCATAGAATTTCTGTGGAAGAAGAACTGGTTATATAGACAATGCACTTGAGCATAGGTATCCTTTTTTCATATTTTTTCCTAATTACTAACTTGATGCATATAACTAATCTAATAATAAAGCACCTTTTTTAGAAAAGGATTTACTTATTTATTTTGAAAGTAATTTAGAGAGAGTATGTGAGAGCTCTTCCATTTGCTAGTTAGCACCCCAGAAGGCCACAATAGCCAGTGCTAGGTCAGGCTGAAGCTAGAAGCTTCATCCAGGTCTCCCACATGGTAGCAGCAGCCCAAGCATTTGAGCCCTGCTTCAGTGCTTTTCCCAGGCCATTAACAGGGGCCTCAATGCAAAGTGGAACCACTATGATGGGTGCAAACTGATATCCATATGGAATGCTTCTGTCAATCAGGAACGTTGCTCTCTACTCCACAGCACCAGCCCCTAAAGTTTTTGCTACTACCATAGGAACCATTGCATTTGCTAGCATCTTCAAGTAGTTTCATGTGTCAGGCAATAATCTAACTACTTTCCATTGATAAATTCATTCAGTGCTCAGAGCATCCACTCAATCAATATTAACAGTATCACATCACTATTCTTATTTTCCATAGGTGAGTGAGAGATACTTAAAACTATAGATGTTCATTGTATAAAGTAAAAAGTAAAAAGCTTAAGGCTAGATATACATTGAATGAGATGAAAGCGTATGCTGTTACATTCTGATTTCTCATTCACTGCACTAAAAAAGCCCAAACATGTATTCAGTAGTATCCCTTGTTCATGGTTTCATAATTTCAATTACTTACGGCCAACTACAGCCCTAACATATTATTTGTCTTGACTCTTTTGAGACAGATCACCTTCATATTACCTTTACTAAAATATTTTGTAGTAATTGCTCAGTTTTATTATTTGATAATATCTTATTGTTCCTGATTGTAAATAAAACTATCATAGGTATGTATGTGCAAAAAGAAAACGTAATATATATAAGGTTTTGGTACGGTTTCTGATTTCAGGTGTCTACAGAGTTTTAGATTGTTTTTCTCCATAGTTAAGGAGGGTACTTTACATACTGCCATGGGAATTAAGTCATTGTTTCCCACACCTTAAGCTTCTCAATGAAAAGGCATTGATACGAACAGTAAGTCTGCGCGAATACTGTCAGTATCTCTGTGTTCTCCAGCATTAGGCTGCTTAAAACCAGTTATACTAATCTTGTGATGCATTTTTCTTAAAATAAAGCCAGCTATACTGAGAATAATTGAAAAATCATGTTCAATTATGTGTGTTACAAGCTGTATATATCTCAGATTTCACCTCAATAAAAATACAATTTCATCCTGCTATGGTGTTCATAGATTGACCTCTGTGTATCTGATAGAAGATACTGTAATCTGCAGTACCTTTGTGAAACTTCATGTCAAGTGAGGAATTTCAGTATATTCACAAGGAGATGAGTGATACCATACTCATACGTAAGTTTTGTGCCTGAGTGTATTCATTGGGCACTAGCCAGCATCATTGATGACTACCAGAGAAAAATGCAGCAAGGTTATGTGTGAAGTAGTTATACTACAGATTCTAGGACTGATTTTTCTCACTTAAAAAAAAAAGTCTTTTAAATGTTTTCTCTTGCCACACCAAGGATTCATTGAACCTCAGTATCTTCGATAC